TCGAGTACATGAAGAATTACAGACCAGGAAGGTGAGGTTTTTCCGATGTGTGATCGGACGGCGCGGATCGGAGGGAGCACGGCCGGGTGAAGAAGCAGGAGCACCGGATAAACACTGCCATTTTAGCTCAGGATAAACACCGGTGTATGTTTGAATGTTTCAGTGTGCTGGGGTTATAAACGATGGATGTACCAAATTACTGAAGTAGCCTCCTCTTTTCACGAAATAACACCAATGCCATCGTGTTGTGGAATTTTAGGACAAAATTGGGTTTTAACTTTGATGCCGTAGAATCCAAACTACTCATTATTAGTTTTAACTTTTTTTTTAAAAAAAATTATAAACAATAAATAAATGGAGCATTTTTTTTTAAAATTTTATCAGCAATAGTTGATTCATAGGTTATAACTTTTATATTTTAATTAAAACTTAGGAGTTTAAATACTATTAAAAATATATAATTTATTATTTTGTATATATATTATAAATTAATAATAATTAATATATAATATTTTAATTAAATAAAATCAAAATTTTAATATTATTTTATCAATAAAATTACGATTATTATTTAAAATTAAAATTTACTGGGTTTGTTAAATTTATAAATAAAATGATTATTTCATAATAATTAAATTATTTTAATTTTAGTAAGTTATGATTAAATTTATATTTATTAATTTAATATTTTTTAAAATAAATAAAGATTAATGTATATGTACTTATACTATTTAAATATTAAATTTTTTAAAATTTTAATATTTTTAAAATAAATATAGATATTTTATTAAAAATTAAAATTAAAAATATGAATCATAAATTTATAAATAGTTAAATAAAAATAATTTTAAATTCAATATGAATGTTAAAATAATAAATAAAAATTTAAATAATATATTAAATTTTAAATTGAAAAAAGTATGAAGCACTAGATTATTATTTTTCAAAACTATATATTCATTCCTTAAAAAATTTAATACATTTATTTATAATTAAAGGATTTTAGGTAATTCAAAAAATATTTTTTTTTTTTAAAAAAACAAAAATACAGCCGGCGAGTTGATGTCCAAAGAAAGGATATAGAAAAGTGTGCAACCAAACAGATTCCTGAAAATCTAAGTGACAAAACTGAACTGATGAATCTTCTGCAGTTCCCACCTTCGTCTCCATCCCGCTGTCTTCAAGAGTTCTCAGATTAATCAAACCAACTAAACTCTGCTTAGGGTTTCTCTTTTCACCTGCAATTCCCTCAATTTTCTTTCCCATCGAGCTTCAGTTTCTTGTAAATTTCTTTTTTTTTTTGGCATCCCGAAATTCAGATTCGGTGTTCGTCTTTCCTTTTATACTTCTTCTGCATCCCCCTCTCTCTAAACCCTAGATTTCTGAACAGAACGCATAGATCTTTTTGATGGTTTCGGTGAATTAACCCTTTTGGTTGTTCCGATATCAGAAGCCAACTCAATTTTGCTTTTTCGGATTTTCATCAACTTTTTCATGAAGACAGAGAGAAAACCTTAAATACTCCAGAGGAAATTCTATATGGGGGTTTCATTTAAGGTTTCAAAGACTGGTAGGAGGTTCAGGCCAAAACCTTCTCTTCAATCAGAGATTCCCCTTGATGAGGCCTCAGACAATTCGAATTCCAAGGAGAGCTTGCCACCTCGTAAGCTTGAGGTAATTTTCTGAAATCGAATAATGCTGTTTGGCGGCTTAAAAAATGTGGAAAACAAGGAGAAAATATGAAAATGAAAGGGAATTCTTTGTTCCTTTCGGAAAGGGAGGAAAATCACTTCATCTACTCATGTTTCCTAATTTATCTGTTTGGTTCGCGCGCTTAGGCGTAAGAAAGGTGGAATTTTTCCCCCTTTTTTGGGAAATAGTCTATTTGCACTGTTGTTATTCTTTTCTGGATTCTATTTGGACAGATGTTGAAGTTGGAACGGAACTGAAATTTGAACTCTTTAGATGTTTTGGAGATTGGATTTTTTTCTAGGAATCTAGCAACTAGGCCTAATTTGTTGATTTTGAGTTTTTTTTTTATAAATCTTCTATTCCTCCTTGAGTCTTTTTTTGAACAAAAAGTTCATTTAGAAGGAAAAAGAATTGCTTTAATTTTCATCAGGTTTCTCAGTAACCATGTGGGTTAGGGGGTTTGACCCATGGTGTGCTAATGCTTTAACCGCTAGTAGGGTAGTTATTGCTGGCTTTGGCTCTGTTGTCATTTCTGTATCACAATTGAAATTCTGCAGTCTCATTTGGTTTTAATGATCTGATAACACGAATAAAAATGTCCTTTGTCTTGTTTTCTCTTGAAATCTTTTGTTTATCATTGTTTGAGTGTCGACGAAGTAAAAAAGCAAAAAAGTTCTGATTGCAGTTATGATGTTTTATGTTTGGGAGAACATGTTCCTTCTATGATTATGTGTATTATTTCTTGAAATCTATGATTATGGGTATTGTCCTGTAATGTAGGGTGGCGTTGTTGGGGATGGTGAGGATCTTGCTGGGGTTCCTCGTTCATCCACCTCTGATTTATCTGCAGGTTAGCTTAAGAGTTTTTTGGTTATCTGCATCATGATCGGGGCTTAAGCCTTTTTCGTTTCTTGTTCATACAGATCATGAAGTATCTTTCACATTGAATCTCTACCCAGATGGATATTTTATTGGAAAACCCTCAGAGGTTAGTTGGAAACAAGTTAAAGAGTATCCCAAGGAAATTAAAATGTCAGCTTTAAGTCTTTTTTAATTCATAAATTTTCAGAATGAGGCTGCACAGCATGCTACTGTTCAAGATGTCATGAAGTTGTTACATCCATATGATAGAGCATCAGAAACTCTACTCTCGGTA